GGAAGGAAGGAAGGAAGGAAGGAAGGAAGGACAAGGAAAGGAAAGGAAAGCCCTAGGGAGAGCCCATGGCAGGACCGAGTCGGGAGCTCATCTGCTCCCAGTCCAGGACAGCCAAGTGTCCATTACACAGGACCAGTCTCTTAGCAACCTCAACCCTCTGAAAACTACTTACAAAAAAACCCCACAAAACAACCAATCAACCAACAGCAAGAACAAAATCAGCGCATTTAAAAAGTTTTTAAAATCTGTAAGTTGTTTTTTTTTTGTTTTGTTTGGGGGCATTGCAACACCAGTCCATGGTGCCAACTGAACCAAAGCGTTTACATTAGGCAACTACCAAAGTGGGGAATTTTCCACTTGGGCATTCCACGCAGCTCGTCAGGAAAGAAACCCCTAATTGGAGCAGAGCATCAGAACACGCTCGTGCCCCGTTTTCTGTGAAGCTGCCTCCCCCAGCACCTCTCTGCTCACGCAGCGGCCGCGGGGCCGAGGCGGCTGCTGTGGCTCTCGCGGGCGGCAGCGCCGTGCCCGGCACATCCCGGCCCTTCCTCTGGGCCTGGGCCAAGCGCCGGGCTTTGCTTTTGGGAAGAAATCTCCCCGTTTCTGCAAATCCTTGCAGGAGCGAGCAGCTCAGCGAGTGCCTGAAACCTCTGCGGGCTCCCAGGCGGCTGGAGCTGGTGCCAAAGGCACCTCCAAGGGCTGAAGGGGCCGGGATCTGCGCTGGCTGCGGCGGTTCTGCTCTAGAAAGTGACTCTGGAGCCCCCTAAAGAAATGGGGGGCTCTGCAGAGTAACAGCTGCCCCCCCTGCTCCATGCACTTCCCTTTAATGAAGGTTAGGCACACAAGTTTGCCTAAAGAACGCATACAATTTAAAATGATAAATTAAAACCTCTAGTAGGAGGCCTTCTTTTCCAGGGCTGTATAGTTGACCCTTTTGAACCTACATTACTCAAGGTATGCAAAATATATGTGTATAATAAATAGCTCTAGAATTTATGGAGTGGAACAGAAAGGATATTAACAGGCAAGTAGAGAGGCTGTATAACCCTCACAAGGCCTTTAAAGATTTATTTTTTTAAAATGAAGGAATGCATGCATGTAAAAGGTAGTGCTTAATCGATAGCCTTCTTTGTGCCTTTCAGAAACACATGCAAAACGATCCCAAATCTGCCCTCAATCTGGTCATTCTGCCCTTCGCGGCAGTGGGAATAAGATTATTCACAACGCTATTTTCCCTTGCTCTTTTTTAAAGAAAGTCCTCCCTGTGTGGGCTCATTCCCCCTCTCAGTAAAATCAATTACGAGGCTCCCGTCGCCTCCGGAGGGATTTGGATCAGGCCCTGTGCAAGTGGCTCTAGAGCAAGTGTAGAACAAGGCCGTTAATATGATTGATTGCGTCCGCTCCCGCGCGGGCAGATTCCCATTTTCTGGGCGCCGCCGCTCGTGCTCGGCAGGGAAGAGCTGCCCATGGGGGCTCCCGCGCAGGCTGGGGCTGCCCGCGGCTCTGCCTCGCTGCGGGAAAAACACCCCTTGGTAAAGCTGAGAGACCGAAAAACCCCTTCCTGTCTGCTTAAAAAAAGCACCTTTAAAAGTACCTTCAACGTGTCACCAGCAAAGTTCCCGGAATTCATTAAAAGCTTGTTTTACAAGGAAGACCAAGGCTCCAACCCCAGAGATATTTCATTTCAGCGGCTTTTACAGATTTTCCGTTACTCAGCCCTGCCGCTGCTGCCTTTCGGGGCGGCTGCGGAGCACGGGCTGCCTCGCGCCTGCGGAGCGGCGGCGCGACCAGATCTGTGGTTTGATAGTGGTGAGAGGACGTTATCTGAGCGCGAAACAACAGCACGCTCGGTGCCTAATAAATTCCAAATTGAAATATGACTTAATAAACACAGGCAACATATTCCGCACACACACACAAAAATTATCAGAATTGGCAGAACAAAAATCACAGTTTAGTCAGTTCTTCTCTTAACCTCCCAATCCTTTGGCTACAAATTAGAATTTCTGTGAACGGGGTTGATAAGAGAAACGAGGCTCTGTCTTTCAGAAATGACAAAAATGTTTTAAGGAGATATGTGTGGAGAGGAGCAGAGCAAAATCCCTCCCAGGGCGAAAGCGCTCGCGTTTCAGCGGGAGGAAGACGCGGGAGTCCCCCCAGCACCAGCAGCAAAGGCCAACTCAGCTGCTGGTGGACCAAGAGAAACGGCTGAGGCCTCCCCTGCTGCACCACGAGCAGGGCGAGAAGCTGCTCCCTTGCACGCGTGCCCGTCGCTCCACGTGCCATCCCTATGGAAACTCGCTCTTATGGAATCACTGTTTTTCCAGGTTGTTTTACAGTGGAAGCCATTGGCTCCCTACAAGCTGCTGCTTCTGCTTTGTGGCGCTCCTGGCCCAGGGAACAGCGGCATTCCCCAGATTCACATCCTCATCGCTACTTCCCAAGAAGACTAAGCGCGGAGGCAGAGCCACCGCGGAGCCTCCCTGCCCTGCTCACCCAGGGCCACCCCTAAAACACGTCGACAAAAATACGGGCAACACGAGGGCACCAGCAGCATCCGCCAGAGCGGTGTGTTTTTAGGTGTGCAGTCCTGCCCCCAAATTGCATTTTTGGGAGCGGGGCTGCTTGGCTGTGCCGGGAGGTTTTCGCAGGGAGGACGGGTCTGCAGAACCGTATTTCGGCGCCATTTTGTTTGCCGGGACGCGCCGCGGTGCCGCGCTCTGAAACGCCGGGGCACGCGCGCCAAGTCGGGCCCTTGTACATGCCACCCATAAACCAAAACGAAGTCAAAAGCACACAGAGAAACACGAAAGCAACGAAGTGCACACCCGAGCGGGCCACGACTCACGGCACGGGACTGACAGCCTTTGCTACGGAGGAAGAAGGATATGGGTTGCATACAGCAGGCTCTGCCTCGGCATCTCCCTAATCACAGTAACGTTTTAAAGGGAAAAAATAAAAGGCGTCTCTCCACGGCTGCAGAAATGCTGCCTTGGTGTAGTGGCACGGCAGCATTTTAACTAGGAGAGTACAAAATTTATTTGCAGCTGCCTCATGTCAGTTATTCTGAATAATCCTTTTATACTAGACATCGTGAGGGGAAAAAAAAAACTTGATAAATATGGGCTGTTTTAATATTCCAAAACAGGAGCAGCAGGTAAGAACTTACCATTTTCTGGCTGGTCCTTAATATCAGCTTCACTTGGCTGGCTGGGACTTTCAGATTGACTTGAATCTGAAAAACATAAAATACAGCCAAAAATTACAGGGTCTGCTATGGAAAATAGATCAGAGGCGCCAGACTTCCTCAAAAGGCTGAGAGTACAAACTAAGGATGGGAATGCTGCACAAGGACATGATAATGCAAAAGTCCCGTGCAATAGGTAATATTTTTGCTGGAAAAAAAAAGGGGGGGAGAAATCTTGCTTATGGCACTGCCTAGGGTGCGTGGTCTGTGCATTAATAGCATAAATAAGGCGCCGTGCAGCCCTCTTAAAGAAGGCAAATTTAAACTTCCCTCCTACACGGCTTTTTATACTGCAGCCTCTCTGTTGTATACAAACCAGAGCCTCAATCCAACACATAGTAAAGTCTCAAAACCCGTTTGGGAGCGAGCGGAGCCGGGTAGCTAAGCCACGGCGCGCTGAGCGCCCAGGCCCTGCGCCCCGCTGCCACGGGCGCTCTTTTGTTGGAAACTGCTCCTAGCGAAAAGCCGAGTGTTCTCCTACTAACCCGCTTCGAATACCACCAAGTGGGGGGAAAACCCACTTTACAAGTCGAAAAAAATTCAAAAACATCTCAAATGATCATTTCCTTAATTCTTTTATTTTTTAATAAAAAAGTTGATTAGCTTTTTTTTTTTTTTAATTATCTAATCACTTTACCCGCTAAAAAAAAAGTTTTTGCAGTGAAACACAACTTAGCAAATGAAACCATCCGTCCCTGCATCAAGCCCACCTACGTTTGCGACAACCCTACGCGACTTCACCTTGACTTTGCGGAGCTGCGAATTGGCTGTCTGAAATCTGACCACATTTCAGCGAGAAGTCAATGCAAGACCAAAAGGTCGTGACACCTGACGGTGATTAAATTGAAAACCTCACTTCTATTGCCACGGAGCGATAACACCACCCCTTCTTTTTCTTTGAGGTATTAATAGCGCTGGGAGAAGCAGTACTACTAGTGACCTTAGGTCAAGCAATGCTAATTTATTGCTTTAAAAAGGTTCCTTGCTTTTAAGCAAATGAAGATTTTAATTACCGCAGAGCACTATAAAGAAAATGCCTATTTTAAATATTCATTTTTTTTTTACCTGCTGACTGTATGCATTAGGTATCATTCAGAAGCTTAGAGGGCAATTTTGTATAAATTAAAAACTAAAAATGAAAAAAAAGTGGTCCCCAAACAAATTTTGATAAATTTCAGAACATAAACATTCAAAAGATTCCACAGAGAAAGCTTCAGTCAGGCTATTTCTATTTAAGATCAATGGAATTGTGCTAAAACACTGATGACATCATTCCCCATGTCTCCAAAATTGGTCTGCTTTTACATCCATTATTTTAATAATTTCTACAATCAAGGTAAATGAAAAAAAAAATTCTTACTTCTCCAATTTTATTTTAAATGCTGATCTTGTGGCCTGTCTTTAATCAACACCCAAATCATTGCGAGTAGATAGTGTGCAGGGTAATTTGCACAGTGCTGCTGTATTTGGACACCCGAATCTGGCAGCAAGTTTCACATTTGCAGAGAGGCAGAGGTAGAAACGATGGTGAAATATTGCAAAAATGCAAAAACGCGCATTCAATGCTCAAAGTCAACATGCGGCGGGTTTCATTTTACAGGGCATGCACGAAGCTTTCGCTTATTTTGGGGGCTTTTGTTTTCCTCTGGCAAGCTACGGTTCAGCCAGCGTTTGGCCTCAATGACTGGAGTTAGGATGCCACAAAAAATACAGATATTGATAAAAGCGGCTGTAGAAATACATGACTCGGGCCACGTTTTCCTTCAAAAATACCGAGGGCAGCAGCGAGAGCGCCCAGCGCGCGGTGGCATCCGCGGGGCTGAGCTCCGTCCTGGCACCCCGGCTTCCCGGCACCACCGGCAGCCGCTCCTGGCATGGGGAAAACAAAGTACTTTTGTTCGGCTCGAGGCTGCCCTCCCAGCACCAGCGCCGGGCGAGCGGGAGCCGAGCGCCGGTCCTGCCCGCCGCATCTTAACTTTCTGCTTTGTGGCTCTGCAATTGCGCTGCAATTTTTTATTACTTTTTTATTACATGAAAAAATATATTACTCTGCAATTTTTTACCCTTAATTCTGTTTTTTTTTTTTTTCCTGCCACCCATCCCTTCTGCTGAGATTAAATAGCGATTTAAGGAAACGACAACAAAAGCTCCAAGCGGGATTCTTCGTGGAGCGGCACGGGGCCATGGAGAGGCAGGATTTACACAAGTGCATCCTGTGGCCGAGCCAGGGGAAGGCTCCCGAAAACCCGTGGCGGGCAAGCGCCGGCCGCGCGTTGTTATGCAAGGTGGCACCTCGTGGAAAGCCCAGATAAGGACCCGGCGCGACGGCACTTGGCCAAAATGTTTCGATGCAGAATTTCTGCTGCCCTGCTTTTATTCAGAGGCCGCAGATGAGCCGGCACATATAAATGTGCTGCCACACGGTTAGGGGGTTGGCAACACCGGAGCCGTCGCGTTTTGCTGGCTTGCCGAGGCCGGCGGGGGTTGTGTTTTGTTTTGCACATGCACCAGTTCCAAAATTCCCGTTTTCGGAGCGCTTGGCGGTTTGTGGGCTCTGCAGCGAGGGGAGGGGGGCACGTCCGTCCTGCTGAGTCAGGCAGCCAAACAGGTGACCAGAGGAATAAATTAATTTTTGCCCATACATAATTGATATAAATGGAAGATCGTTTTCATAAGCATTTGCATTAAATCAATAAAATCACTTACTATAGAGCGGCTTAACAATTCATTTGATTTTCTCTTTTCTATATATTTGATAGCCACTCTGCAAAACAGTATACACTTTATGCCTATTTTCTTTAGCAACAACGCTTCCAGTTAAATTCTACCACCTGCAATAATTAGAGCCATTGGAAAACATACAAAACAAAATATACAGTAGATGCGAGCCCCTCTTGAATCCACGGCCCCCTGCGGCAACGGGTTTCATTGGTGCCTTAAGCTAAGGCTGGTAGGAAGCCAAGGAATCTGTATATTACAATAAAGTGCATGTTATTAAGGGGAAGGATTTAAATGATTTCAGATGGAGTTGGAAATATTAGAGTGAGGAGCCACTATCAAGATTGCTGATTTAAAAAATTTAAAAAAAAATCACCAAGGAATCTAGTTTTATGTTTAAGGAAGCTTAACCTTGAATAGCACAATGGCTCTTATTTGGGAGCTCTTTTGGTTGGAGAAAGTTAGCGGTTGGGATTTTTAACCCTGAACTAGCTAAAGTTGGCGCCCGTCAACATGCTCGAGTCCCAGCTACTGGGCGGCAGATGCTCGACCGGGTAGAGCACCAACAGGAACCATGGGGAAACACGCTCAAAAGCACCGGGGAAACTATTTTATTCTCCCCTTCCATGAACCCAGGGTGATTATGGGGTAAAAATAGGCTGTTTTATTCCTTTGGAGCAGTGCTTGCAGGTGGGCCGTGCGGCGGCCGTGTGCGTGGGGACGTCGCTCCAGGAGGGAGCGCCGGGTGTTTGGGAAGAGCGAGGTTTCTCCACCGGGAAGCCCAGCCTGGAATGTCCCCACGTGCCGGTGGCGGTGCGGAGCGGCTTCGCTCCTCCGCCAAAAATCCCTGTGGCTCTGGGGCCGTGCGGTTTCTTTCCTGGATGCTCCCGTTTTCTCCGCAGCCGGCGTGTGCCGGCGCTCGGGCGGCAGAGACGCAGCGGGACCGGCACATTGCTCGTGTCTCAGCTGCCGGGATTCTCCGCGTTGGGAATCTGTGCTGGCAAGACCATGGCGCCCTCATGGAGGGACAGAGTCCCCCGAAAAAATGCACCCCTTAAATTCTCCATTCCTACCAAATTTCATAGGGGAAAAAATATGTAATAAATTGACATATTTTACTCAAGTGCCAGCGTCGTACTTGTAATAAAATATTTATATGCCTTGGGTTGCATTCATGCAATAAATTTCTCATCCATAATTTTGGGTATGGATTCTACCAAAGATTTATGCGTGTTTAAAAAAAAAGTATATATATATATATAAATCACGCTACTTTATGTATGACCCTACGTGTCAAACTCAAGGGATTTACAAGCAGAAACCAGCATGGGGACGCAGGGTTTTTTTGCACTTACCATCCCATCATTAGGCTCTACAATACAAGTACACGTGCATGGCTTTGTGCGGGCCACAGTTATCGCTTACAGCTCAATATTGGGGGGCTGCGGTGGCCCCCGTTTCACTTTTGAGCCAACTCTTCTCGGGGTGTTGGAGGGGCTCCGCTCTTGCCCGCCCACGTGGGCCCGTGCGCTCCACATTTGCCGTTTTATTCTGTTTTTTTTTTATCCCCCCTGTCTACAGCAGGACGCTCATGAATACGCGGGAAAACAGCCGCCGTGCCAGCCTGTTTTTTTTCTTTTTCTCCTTTTTTTCACCCTTTTTTTCCCTTCTCTCTCATAAGGCAAGGACTCTTAATTCCTGTACACTGGGAAGGAGATTATCTCTGATAATGGAAATGTAAATCAAAGCTTGCTGTTGTTTATGCCAGACAGACATTCGTGTGTTAAGTCTGTTTATCAGGCCACACTCTGTCTGCGCCAGGAAGTGGCCGGCCTTTGTACAGCGAGCGCTGTTCCCAGGAGCCCTTGCCACCAAACTTTCTGTGGTAAAAAATAAGTAAATAAAACTAAATTAAGAAAGAAAGAGAAAAATATTGTTAAAGAAAGCCCCTTTCCTTGTTGCTCCAGCTCCTAAGCCGCCCTGTGAGGAGATATGCGACCGGGCAGCATGGCTGTGCTGGTGAGGCCGAGCGATACCACACTGTCCGTCCGTCCACCCACCCGCGGGCGCTCTGTGCCCCAAACGCCACCGCTCGCCACTGCCCGATGCTTCCCTCCTCCTCCTCCTCGTGCTTCTCCTCAGGAGAGCACCTCAGGGCCACGCTGGGCGCTCGCTCCAAGCGCGACCTGCTCGCGCCCCGGCCGCGGCGAGCGCTAACGTGCCACTTAATCCTCTGCGCCATCAAAGGCTTCCTTGAGAAATCCCACGGC